AATCAAGGTCCTCAAGTGCCAAAGCCTGGATGCCAGGATGTGGAGGAGAGGTCCCAGTAGATAACAGACTGTTGGGGGCTGTGTCTGAAGCTCAGACCCAAAAAGGTAAAAGATAAGGACATGGACATGAAGGTCACTGGGAATCTCCAGTCCTCTCAAGTTCCCCAGATACTTAAATCAGCAACTGACTCTTAGCAAGGATGAGCCCCTCCCTCCCTAAGGGAGATAATAAAACCAAATGCTACCCCCTCCTCCTCCCCCCCCAAAAGTGCAGCTCTTCCTGCCCGCTTGTGCCTATGCAAGTGTCTTCCTCTCCTGTCTCTTTGCAATAAACTTACTCTTTAAATATAACTGAGTCTGATGTGGAGGATCTCGCTACGTTTAGGTGAAAGGGGAGCTCTGGTGAAACCTTTCCCAGAGTGAACCCAAGTATGCCCAAGCTCTAAAAAAAAAACGACATCACTACCCTGGGGAAGGACAAGGCAATGAGTTGGTACTGCTATAGTGAGGAACTGCTATTCAACACAAGTTGAGTCTTCGTGGCTCTCACATTTCAGAGAGGGAGGTATGTAATCAACACAGGAGACAGGTAAATCATTGTTGGAAGGTTAATAGGCTCTGTGCTAAGTTACGCTGCATATGGGGGATTAGGGACACTTGGGTGCAATAAGTAGAGCAACCAGGGAACATCTCACTGAAAGGATAGCACTTAAGCAAAGGAGGAGGTTAAGTATGAAGCCTTGGCACATTCTGGTGATAGAGGAACAGTCTGCGAAGGCCAAGAGGAGCAGGTTTGCCTGAGCCGTCCAGGATGCTGGGGTCCAGAACGTCTAGAGGACAAGGGGCTGGGCGAGGGGGCGTGGAAGGCACTGAGATCAGGTGAGTGACGGGAAATGAAGTTGAACTGAGATCAGGTGAGTTACGGGAAATAAAGTTGAAGACTTCTGGCCAAGTGGATTGATCTGGCATTTTTCTCATCACTTCCTAAAGTCGTGTTCTTCTCTGTATCTTGCTCAATCCCCAAAGGATTTTTCTTTTCCCTAGGAGGGGCAATGGGAAGGCAGTTCTCCAACTGCTGGGGTCCAGGACAGAGCAGACAACACAAAGGCGGGGTGGGGGTGGGGTGCCCGCTAGGCAAGCATCATTCTGTTTGTTGTTCGTAGGTAGGGAAGGGAAGATCACATGGCTCCCCCGCCCCATGTGACTATCTCACACATGGTTGTCACCTCATTGTTCCTATCAGCTTATTTCCCCACATCTGAGTATCTTCCATTTGAAATTCACCTTGGGGTGATATTAATCATAACTACATCAGACACCTCTGCAAAGACTGAAGCACTGTCCCAGGGCCTGGGCAATGCATATCAAGTATTATCTGCTCCTGACCTTCGGATCCTGGACCCACAAGATTTCTCAATGAAAGGCATTTTAGGGAGAGAGAAGCCCTATCTTTTTAGATAAGTCTCAGAGGACCTATCCCTCATCAAGAATGAGAGCAATGAGACCATGGCACTCCAGACAGAGATGTGACAATGAGAAGCGAAGCTCAGATTTCTGCAGGGGTGCAGTAATGACTGGTAAGTTCCCTGCATGGAGCGGTCACACTGTGTGCTGACAAACCAGCACCATCACTCAGATTAGCTTCTGAGCACAACTCTGCATATTGCTTTTTCCTGACATCTTTAAACTCTAGTTGCCTGGTGGTTCATCACCTAGTTTCCCGTTCCTCAACCACAAAATAAAAAACAAAATAACCAAACTAAAAACAAACAAACAGAAAACACTTGCAGAACACTGCTACCAAGCAAACTGGCTGCAGGGAAGGATGATTCGATCACCAATAAAAAAAGGTAATACAGGATGGACCTTGCCAGCTAACACAGATCAGGAGTGGGGTGTGACACTTGTTGGAGGGATGGACCACTCTGATGGTTAAGAAGTGTCCACTGGCACCCACAAGGCACAGAGCTGGCAGCCAGTGTCTTGGCAATGAAGTGACTCTCAAGAAGGTGGAAACCAAAACTCATGAAAAATGACGGGGTGTAAGGACAACACAACAGAGGTCACCGGTTGCTGACAATGTGAGGGCTCTGAATTGGGGGCACAGTACCCAGAGGGTCTTACTTAGACAGCTTCAAGCAAGTGGACTCCATGGACCTAGCATAGGTCCTTGCATAGGGTGGATGGATAGGGTTGCATAGCATGGATCCGGGTGTGAATTCCGCTTCCACATTTCCTAGTTAGGCATCAGTATCACGAACAACTGCTAACTTCCCTGGCATTAAAACTTCATGGGAATGTTGGGAAGCGAAAACTTACTAAGTGAGCTGTTTCAGCACACACGTGGGAGGGGCGAATACTCGGTCAATGGCCTCCATCGGGTCCATCCCTGTTTCTGCATGGCCAGAGCAGCGTCTTCCTGTACCCCATACCGGGTCCGAGAGTTCCAAGTCCCTCCCGAACCCCTGCTGCCCCCACTGTCCGAGATTCCCTTGCACAGCAAAGTCAGAAGTGCGCCCAGCCGCGAGCCACCCGACGGCCCAGCCGGGTGGGGGCCCTTTCCCTCGGCCCCCGCGGCGCTCCCCTGAGGGGCCTCCGCGGGACCCCGGGTGCCCGCTAGCCCGCGCCCCTGCCCTCACCTGATGTAGGGGAGGAAGGGGTTGACGTGCCCGGCGAGCACTGCGACCACGTAGGAGATGATGAAGGCGGCGGACGACCAGGTCACCAGGAGGAAGGGGACGAAAGCCATCCCCCTGAGGAAGCACAGCATCGCGCCGCCACCCACAGCGCTGGCTCGGCGGGTCCGGGGCGCGGGCTCCCCAGGCTGCGGGGGGCGGCGGC